GGGGTCCTGATTCGCACACTGCCCTCAGGGAGTAGCTGGGAAAAATCTGCCTTATCCTTCTTTATATTATTTTCTTGTTGTTGGTTCCCTTATTTTCCCCTCTGTTAATTGCTTGGCTTCCCTGGTGGATTCTTTTTATTGGTACTCTTGGAAATGTCATCTTCATTATGTCTTTTTAACATATCATTTGGAATGTTTTGGACTTTTGGTTTAGTGGTCATGAGTTTCTTCAGTTGTTGTTATGGTAGTTTTTAATATCTCCACTGATTTTGAAACATAGTTTTGCAGGACATATCAAACTGGGTTGAAGGTTGTTTTCTTTCAAGACGTGAAATACTTTACTGCAACCTCTCCTGATTTGAGTGTTTGTGCTGAGAAGTTTGCTGTTTTTCTGATGGGCTTTTCTTCATAAATATTTTGTTCTTTTCTCTAACTGCTTTTAATATTCTAATCTTGTGCTAAATTTCTGAAATCTTGACTATTTTATGCTTTGTTGTAGATTTATTTTGGTCATGGCTATTTGGAGTCCTTTCTGCATCATTTATGTATATTGTGAATTCTTTTTCCATGCTTGAGAATTTTTCTGCCATTAGTTCTGTGAACAGGTTTTTCATGTTTTTTTAATTGTATCCTACTTTTTCATTAACTCTGGTCTATTTTATGTGGTTCTTCTTTGCAGCACATTGAAGCTGTTTGACTGATTTGTCATGGTCACTTGCTATTTTAAGAAATCTTTTTCATGATCACTAACTTCAATCTGGACTTCTAGACCTGATATTCTGTCCTCACCTTAGTTCAATCAACTGTTACACTTTAAATGAAATTTTTAATAGCCTAGATATTTGTTTGAGTGTTTATGGGATCAAATTTCTTTCTTATGTTGGGAATTCATGGTTTCTATCATTTTCATAAGCTTTATTTTTTATCCATGTCAACTCTATATTCATTGAATAAGTTCTTTAATATTATCATCATCTCTGTTTGCACTTGGGAGGTTATTTCTGATTTTTTTCTAGAGCCTAGTTCATTTTTTTCTTCTGCTGTTATCATTTCAGAAATCTATGTGAGTGGCTTGTGATTTCCTCTACATTGTTTTCCTCTGCACTTGTCCTGGATGGTCTGGATGTCAGGGGGTGCATTTTGCTTCTGCGTCTTCTAATTTTCCATTTTCTATTTTATTTGTTTTCTGTTTTGATGTCTGAAACTTGTTATGAAATGTAGCTTTATCATTAGTATTGAGCTTCCCTAGGAAATGTTTATTCCTCAGAAATGTCTTCTGGCTCTTAGCCTTTGTGTTTCTCCCAATATCCTACATTTCCAGTTTATTGGAGATGAGAAGTTGTTTATTTGTCTCAGCACCCAGTCCTCTGGTACTGGACTATGATGATAATTATGAGCTCAGATAATCATGATGTTGTCATACAGTGGAGAACAACTGATTGCAACACATATGACACCCTGGCTAAACTAGTACAATTAGCAATAATGGCAGCATCAAGCATGACTTAGTATCTGATACATTGGTAACTATTATTTGGTATCTTAGCAGAGATAGAGGAAGACAAACATAGTAGAAGCAAGCCTGAAGGACAAATAATGATTACCCAAACTGGGGAAAACCGGAGAAGAGGATAGTAGAGAAAGAATGAAGGGAAAAACAAAAGAATATTGAATTGAACCACAAAGACAAGGAACAATATTTATTCAAATGAAAATATCAAAATATCACAAAGATGGTTGAGGGAAGAGAAAAAGGTGGACAAAACAAACAAAAGCAAAAATCTATTAGAAGATGTAAGAATGCAAGACTAATCAAACCATTAAAGAGAATAAAATAATTTGACCTTCAATTAAGATAAAAATATATTATATGGCAACCACTGTTAATCCTTATCATTTTGTTCTGAAACCCTGCATCATTCTTAGTGTTTTTGCTTTGTTTTGTCCTTGTTTATGTTGCTGGAATTTTACTATTGTTCTTTTTTTACAATTCTCTTTAAAGTACAAAAATACTAAAACAACAAGCAAAATTGACAGAATAGGAAAAACAAAGAAACAAAAAACAATAAATTCCTCTGGAATTTAAATTCCACTTCTGTGGTAGTGTCTACTTCAGAGCCCAAATCTGTTCTAGGTAACCCTGCCATGTCTAAAGTATGGATAGTGCTTGGTGAAAAGCTGATCTTGTCATGTGTAAGTGGCGGCTGTGACCAGAGACTTCCAAGGGGTAAGGTTCCTTGGAGACCCACCCATATCTCCTTACCTTGTTCATTTCTACATCCCTCTCCAAGTTGCTGTGGCACCCTCAGACAGAGACATCCCAAGGCAGTTTCCAGTTCTGTGTACAGTAGGACACTTATCCTGAGTGTTCTGTCCTCATAAATTAATCAGTTCCTCAAGGATACAATTCTTAATACTATTACATGAAGATTAAAATATGAAATTTGGTAGACATATTCTGACCATACCACTCCATGTGCTTCTCACATGCAAAATACATGCATTTCATTCCAATGTCCTCCAACAGTCTGTCTCATTACAGAAAAATCTGAAGTCAAAAGTCTCATATTAATCAGAAATGCATAAGACTCGTGATAATATTCATTCTGACATATATTGCTCTCCGGGTGTAAACCTGTGAACTTAAACAAGTTATACACTTTACTAATATGATGGAGTACAAGAATAGGATGGATATGTCTGCTCAACAAGGGAGGAACAGGAAAAACAAAAGCAGTAAAACCCCATGTATGTCCAAAACCCAACAAAGCAAACAACGTTAAGACTGGAGACTTGTGAACAAACTTTCACTCCATTTTTGACCTTCTAGGTACACTGAGACAGAGGTTGGGCCCCCAAGTTGCTAGATAGTTTATCTCCACAGGTTTTCTAGGTATAGCCCATACAACAGCTCTTACAAATACAAGTCTGGTGCATGTAGGTCTCCCACCCTGATAATGCAGGCTAGTGACTCTATCATTACTGGTTTTCAGGGTAAGCTCAGCCCCCATAGCTCCTCTGGACATTACCCTTATGAGGACTTTCTGTGGTTATGGAGCCACTAGACAATGCCTTAGCGGGGACTCTGTGCAGTGACCCTGATGCCATGACTCCACTGACTCTTGAGAAAAAAATGAAAATTTCAACATATGAATTCAAGGAAGTGGGTACATTCAGCTACAGGATTATTATTATCTGGTTCACCTGTGGATATATGTCAGGAGATTAGAAAAGAGGATATCAGCATTCTACACTGATTTGTATCATCTGCTTATTGACAATGGATGATGAGAAAAATAAGTTCAGAAAATAAGTGGAATTGAAGGGGAAAAGATAAAAGTTCATAATTTTAAACTTTTCAGGGTTGAAAAGCTAACTATTTAATATCACTAAATAGTAAAAATGTGAACAGTATAGAAAAATCATTCAATAAAACTTTCAACTGAGTGAATATTCTGAAGGGAAAGATTAGACTGAGTTTGTAGCATCTGTCCTTGAACTAAATTAATCCAATGAGAAAACTGGATTCTGGGTGAGGCATTGTCAGAGAGTGGTAAATTTATATTACTATGATACCCATAATAAATGAAGAGAGAAAGTTCTATAGTGGAAAATGATGAAATACAGCTGATACAAATTGTGCTTCAAAATGAATTGTGCACCTGATTATTCCCCATACAGCTTACTTGAATGAAATAGAAAAAAATCCTACTAATACATAAGAAAATTGTACTTCCAATTCAACCATGAATGTAACAGTCCATGATTATTTAAATTCTATATTTGGAAAACCAAAGTTTTGCCAGCAGGAAAAATAAAGGTACAACCCCTAAGTAGTTTTCCTTTCCATAGTTTTCCTCAGAAGAGCCCAGGAGGATAACAGAGAGGGAAGACTGCCTAGAGCATAGAACAGATAACAATGAACAGTGGATGTGGGACCTGCTCCTACAGTGCAGAACCAGGAGGAAATAGTACTTCTCAATGTCTTCATAGAGGAGTAGAACTGGTATGAATTAGTGGTTATTGCATGCTGCCCATATTTCCTATTTTGGTGTGTATTCACTGCTCATATTCTGTGTTTGCTCTCTGTTATGATTGACGCATTGTGTCAACTTGGGGAGTCTAGAGGTTTGGCTAAGTGACTTAGTAGTTCTGCATCTTGGGGTGAAAAAGACACTTCCTTACCCTTCTGGAATGTTGTTCATTGTGTCAATTTGAGAAGTTTAGAAGTTTAACTACGTGATTCAGCAGGGAGCCAGGATGCTCACTTTGCATTCATCCTCAGCCTGTGCAAAAGGAGGGCATGGAGAAATGTTACACATCCCTTGGGTGTGGAGTCTGCTTACAATACAAGGGAGGGAAAGAGGCTTGCTCCTCTCTGCTGCTCTTCCCTTTTGCTCTTGTTATTTTTGATGTTTTCCACTGCCATGAAGGTTTGTTTTCTGCCATGTGCCACTCTACCTTGGAGCCAGCCAGGTATGGACTGAAACCTCCATATACTGTAAATAAACCTTTCCTTCCTTAATTTTGGGTGTCAGGTATTTTGTTTCAGCAATGAGAGAAAAGTAACCAAGACACTCTCCTAATGTGTACAGGCTGGACTGTGAGAAAGATGGTTTGTTTTGTTATTTTACAGATGTCTTGTCCAACAGGAGCAACTTTCAAATGAGATGTACAGCTTAGTTGTCACTACTCAGGAATTGAATACAGTAACTGTACAGAAACCTTGGGTATTCTTCCATCGGGGAAGAAGTGAGCTGCTCCTATAAGAAAGAAGAAGGTGAAGAGATGTTATGTGTGCAGATGGGAAAACTGGTAGGGATAGTAATGGTCAGTGAATATTTTATGATAGTAATGGTAATTCAATATATTATGAGGTTTTTCAGGCTTATTAAAGGTAGACAAGATCATGTGACTTGTTCAGCTCATAGAAGAAATACATTTAATTTCTAAGACAAAGCAGCTAATGACTAGAGTCTAGTGATAGAATGTTCTTTTATTAGAGGGTAAGGTGACCTCACTTTAACTTGGTGAAACTTTAAGATTGAAACAGTCACCACATGGAAAACAGCTGCTGTAAAGTCATCGTAAACTTATTAGTGTTCACCACATTTCTCACATGAGTTTAGAGCAAATCATTATTGCATTGAGCCCACAAACTTCACTGTCCTGTTACTGTCATTTCTTTCTGACCAAGCACTTTCCTATAGAAATACAAAGTAAACTATATTAGTAGCCAGATTTTAAAAAGCATAAGAATCTGGTATGATTAATTTCAACAATACATTTTTCACACAACTTATCCAATGTATAACCATTATAAAAATGCAAATCTTAGGAGTCACCATAATTCATATTGACCACATTTCAGTTGATCCGTAGCAAAAATGGTTAGTAGCTGCAATATTACACATTATAGGTCTAGCTACTCTGAGGAATACAGTTCTAGACTACAAATTGGTACTTTCTATAAAAAATTATTCAAATCAAGCATAGGTACTATTGGTACCATCTAGAGATCCTGAAACTGATTTCAGTATAGTAAATGATCAGGATATTGAGATATTCTTCCTTTGAGGAGGCATCTTCCTGATGCTTGACCTGAAGAGCATTTTCTGATGAAATTTATATGTCAAGTGGAAGGTGTTGTGCATGAAATTAACATTTCAGTAAGTGAAATCTGATTCAGCAGATTGCCCTCCCTGGATAAGAATAATTCAAAATGCATTGTGTCTGAGATTTATATGCAATTGAGATTCCATTTCTAGAACTTTTGGAAGATAAAAGGGAATGGAAGTCTTTCTTCAAATAAGTTCCCACAGACAGAAATATTTTAGTTGCTGAATGTGACATTCCTTTGTCTAATAACTAAAGTTCTTGTAATGGCAGTGGTAATTCCAGCAGCGGCCACACATGTTTTTCTGTTTTTTGTCTCATAATTTATAGGCTGGGTCCTTGCATCCAGAAGCACAGTGGAGCTCTCTGGCATTTAGTACTGTAGCTTTCAATAATTTTCTACATTTCTAATTCCTTTATGATTGATATATATAGCTTTAACTTTCCTATAATAAACTGGAAAAAAGTAGAAATTCCTCCACCACGTTAGTTGTTTTCAAAGGGTCAAACATTAGGAAGATAGTAGTTATTATAGAGCGTGAGCGTGTACCAACGAATTTAGGTGAGAAATAGAAAATCTTTTCCCCAGGAATATTACATAGAAAGGCTTCTGCCTATAGAGTTATAAAGAATTTTCAATGGTTTATTAATATATTAAACTAAATTATAGAGATATAATTAATATGGGAAAGAAAATGGGTTTTTGTTTGCTTGTGAGTTTCTTTCTGTGAGACAATGTGACACTTTCATGCGCAGTTATTATCAGCCAAAATTATATTAGTTACATATTTAGAAATCCAACTTAAATTGGCTTTAAGAAATGTGTTGTTTCACAAGAGAAAACATTCCTGGCACAGGTTAGGCTTCAAGAAAAGCTGAATCCAGAATCTCAATATTGTCATTAGAATACAATTTCATTCTCTCCAATTTAATTGTATTATTCTCTTTTGAGTCCATGCTAAGTAAGTATCTCTTCAGTATATAGGAAAGTGGAAGCAAGCAATTCCATCCTCTCAGCTATTCAAAAGGGAAATTTTCTCTTTTCCAATAAAAATCTAATAACAGCTCCTATAACTTACATGATTTAATATAAGTAAGGTCATGCACCCATTCATGAATCACAAACTGAGCAGGAGGTGTAATATTCTACTTTGGTGATGTTTCTCCTTTGAAGAGCAAGGTAGAATCAACTCTGACAAAACACATGAAAGGACACTGGACAAGCTCTTTTGTTGGTTCTTACTAGAAGAATAAGCTCCATATGTGAGCCTTTTTTAAATAAATCTTGAACTAGATAATAAATATATTTAAATTCTCTGAACCATTTTCTTAAAATTATATTTTGTAGATTTAATTTAGTGTTTTTAATGTTAACATAACATTTAGTAATCATATTTGATTAAATTTTTTTATGTCCACTACAAAAATAGCCACAATAGGTGCATAATAAACATTCATTGAATAAGTAACATTGAAGTGGTAAAATTTATAAATTACAGTCTTGGTTGCTTTCCTCTTGTTGTTGAGACAAAACACCCTGACATCCACAATTAAGGAGGAAAGGTTTATTTAGCTTACAGTTTATGGAGGTTTCAGTCTATAATCAGCTTGCTCCAAGGTAGGATGGCAGGGCACATGGGCAAGACTTCAAGGTAGCACAAGACAGCAAAGGCACAAGAGCAATCGGGACAGACAAGCCTCTTTTCCTCCCTTATATTGTACCTTGGCTCTCCGCCCATGCCCACACCATCTCTGCACCCTCCTCTTGCACAAGCTGAGGATGTAGAACTGCTGAGTCACTTAGCCACACTTCTAGACTCCTCAAGTTGACAGTGTGATGACCGTTATCTATTGTTATCTATTGCCATATTTAAGAAAAAGAGATAAAAATTCACAGCATTTTACAATAGATATTTATATTTTCATGATCCTCTGGATTGGTATTTAAGTCAGAATGCAGGTGGGATGTCTCATCTTTTGTTAATTGTGCTCATTCATGCATTTGCAGTCAGTTTTCAATGGGAAAATAAGTTCCAACAGATGTGAAATTTCTCTGATTTGCCCCAGAAGATGTTTTCCACACGCTTGGAACTTACCTAAAGAGAAAGCATTGGCTTGACTCTGTATCCATCATTAGCTTGCAGATTGATCACAGGGTTTTCTTGGGGAGACTGTGTTTAAAACACATCAAGCAAGGGAAAACCGAATGCATATGCACTGTAAAGCTTCTGTTTAAATAAAAATTCCTAATATGTCATTGATTAATGTGGGCCACAAGAGTGGGAAAATCAATCCTATCTTCTTCACAAAAGAAGGTGAAAAGTAGTATGACTTTTTTAGTCTGAAATTTACCACAGCTCAAGCTGGGAATATAGCTCAGCAGCATAAGCTCCTGCCTCTGAAGCACAAGGTGCTGAGTTCGATTCCTGATGCAAAAAAAAAAATTACCACAGCCCAATATATGGTTATAGGTATTTGTATTTTTCCGACTTGCAAAATCTTGCCAATAAATTTTTAAAAATTAACATATTTTATCATCAGGTGCAAAATTTAGTAACTCATGATCTGTATCTAGTCTAAAATAAAAATAGTTCTAATAGTTCATTTCCTAATTATTCCATGGTGTGAAAGGAGACAAAAAAACAGACAAGTTACTTGCCCAGCACATGTAAGTATCAAGTGATCCCATTCTAAGACAGTAGGAATGGAAGACGCTGGCTCATAGGCGTTCTGAAATTAGCCAGACCCATCATGTCAATTTATTTCATGGAAATAAGTTTTCCCAATCAGAAATGGATTCTGTTCTCTTGTAGTAATTCCCAAGAATAGTTTTTCCATGGTTTTTGGCTCAGTCCTCTGAATCATTCATTCTTCCCTTGAAAAAATGAAGGCTACAAGTATAACCTCCGTTTCCTTTCTACTTCTTTTCTTAAAAGTGATGGACCCAAAAATACTTTCCAGTTTGAACTATTTCACTTTTAGTGCTTTGATTATTACCATACTCTTTATAATTCTGTGTATTTCCTATGAATTAACAAAAGCTACATCCACTGTTCCTAAGGCTGCATTTGTGAAAGTGACCAAATTCAGATTCAAAGGGTAAGAAAAGTTTTATGTCCTGAAAAAAAGTTGAAATATAAAATGCCCTTTATTCGCATCTACCACACAATATGATGTTTACATGTTCAAGAGAAAATGCCCATATTTATTTGCCACAATTTTAAAAGCTATTATAAGTCCTCGATTTTTTTATACACATTAAATTTCCCCAAGTTTAATACCAGTTAGACTTCTAACATTCAAATTATATCAAAGAAGTGTCAAACAAATGAAGAATACATAAAAGGTTTAGACATGAGTCTTACAAAAGATGAAACAATTTCTCAAATTCAATTTATTTTAGTCTCTAGATATCCTCAGCATAAGGTTATGAAGCTCAGAATTCTAAACTTGGCATTAATACTGACCTCAAATTTTGAGTCTAAAATGAAGATGTTATATGGAATTGCAACTTAATCCAAAGATATCCTTAGAAATCCTGCACATATCCTAAGAGGTGACATTTATTCTTTGGGTAAATGAAATATTTTGTCCTTAAAACTCTACTTTGCCATGGTTATATTAGATTTAATATAAAATACTGAAATTCACTGTCATGTCACAGTAAGAAAGGACAATGAATAGTTTTGTGAAAGTAAATGTTTTCCAGTCTATCTTTAAGGGTCACTAAGCTTATATAGCTTCTATAAAACCATATTTCAATAACTCTGTATCTAAAATAAAATCAACTTGAAGTAAACTAAAAATACTTTATGTATTCTACTATATGATATACACATTAAGACAATAACTAAATGAAAGAAAAACAATTACAGTGTTTCTTTCTTCCCAGTTGTTAATAAATGATACAAAATATAAAGGTTAAAGAGAAGTTCTTAATAAACATCAAAATTATGTATCTTTTTCATTACTACAAAAATTGTATACTTTCTTTAGGTGTAGGATGGTAAAGTAAATGTTGTAGTAGATATAGGAGAATATTTGAATAGATAGAAATATTTACTCTTTGGAATTTCACAAACAAATGACAAATCCTACGCACAGTTATTTGAATTCAGCTACACCCTAAAATGTAATGTTGAAAAGAACTCCATCAATTCAAAAACAAGAACTTACCTTCTCAATGCATTCATTGTGAGGTCCTATGTTAAATTCTGAGAATGATGCTGTTATAGCATTATAGGTGGATGTATTTCTTATATTTGTTTCTTTTTGAACACTGGTATACTTTCACGTTTTCAACTACTTTGACCTTAAGTTCACCTACGTCCAAAAAGCTTAATGACCATGACAGAGCACTGCTACTACCTTCATCAAGATCTTTATGAAGAATTTCTTCCGTGAAATTCTTCCTCAAAAAGATAAACCTGTAAAATAACAAAACTTCACTGTTTGTTTCAGAAACTCCTACAAACAAGTTATCTGGACAAAGAATCTCCTTGGGCAGGATCTTGATAATTTTGTCAATATGTTATTTAGCTTTCCTGTTACTGGGACAGAATACTACCTGACATCTACAATGGAAGGAGAGGCTTACTTTGACTCAGATTATCCAGTCCATGGGCAGATAGATGCAAGGAAGAAATATCACAGTGGAAATGTGTGGAAGAGGAAAGCTGCTCAACTTGTACGTACAGGAAACAGAGAACAGGGAAAGGGCTAGAAATGAAGGGGCCAGGAACCAGATATAGCACCAAAGTTCACAGACCCACAACCCACCCAAATGCACCACACAGGTGTTTAACTAATTTCCCAAGAGGCATCTCTCAACCCAACTAATTTCACAATTGTAATTAACCTCCAGTCAATAAAATGCAATCTTTATTTGGGCAAAATTCTTGCTCACCATGAAAATGAGCTTCATTCAATATTTTTTTCAGCAACCCTATAAACTTTCTCATGAATTTTTCCTAAATGAAGTCAGTCTCCATCTTGGAATGAATATTAATTACTCTGGTACTACAATCAGGTGAAGATAGAACAAACAAATGACAAAAAGTCAATCCAATTTAATTTATAAATGTGAACACAAAATACTCAACAAAATATTAGCAAATAGAATTCTACAATATGCTCAATTACATACCATAATTAACTGGAGCATATTTCAAAGATTCAAAGCTGGTTAAGTACCAAACATCAATACTAACTGATGTATCAACAAGCCACAAATAAGAGTCAACCTCCTCCTAGAGTTTACTTACAAAACATCAGACAAATTGATGCCCAATCATAATAGAAATTATCAGAACATAGAATTAAGTGTTCTTTGAATTTAATAAAGAACATTTATTAAAGAAACAGAAATCTGGAGCTAACATCTTACCTATGATGATGATCTGACTGTTGTACCGGTTACATCAGGAGTGAGGCTAGAATGTATTTTCTTACCATTGTGATGATTTTGAACATTCCAACCAGAATAGGAAGGTAAGAAACACTAGGCACACAGATTTAGGAGGGGAAGGACATTGTCCCTGTTTGCATGTGACATGCTTGTTTACAGAGAAGATCCCAAGTATGTGAAAGAACTCATAGAATGAAAAGCTGAACATACATAAAGGGTTGTATTTTAATAAATGAACAGTGTACATGTAGAAACAAATTAGAAATACAATAAATTTTATAATTACTCAAGAATGTCGTGTTTAGGTAAAGGACTAACAAAACATTTACAGATTTTCCTGTGCTAAAAACTTCAAAATACTAATGAAAGAAATCACAAAGAGCTAAATAAGTGTAGACATACCCTCATAAATTGATATAACCAACCTAGTAAAGATGTCTGTCCATCTCAGTTTTTACCGAAGCTTAACAAGAATCTTATCAAAATCAAACAATTTAGGACTGGGGATTTAGCCCAGCGGCAAAGCACCTGCCTGGCAAGCGTAAGGTCGTGAGTTCGGTTCCCGGTACCGGAGAAAAAACCAAACAAACAAACAAAAAAAATCAAACAAGTTTAAAAATACACATAGGATTATTCTAAACTTTACATGGAATAGAAAGAAAAATTTGCCCTTTGGAAGTTCATATACCAAGGGAGAAACCTACACACTAACTAAAATAACTTAATCAACTAGGAAATAAAGATGGAAGAAATCACTCTCAAATTAGATGATCTATTATGTAGATCCAGTAATCTAGGCTTTTTAATTTGTTAGTCACATAGTTAAATGGAATAAAATGAAGAATTCAGAAATAGCCACAATATAGCGGGGTCAGCTGACTCAAAATGAATTTGTGAAAGTAATTCAATAGAGAAAGAACAGTCTTTTCAAGAAATGGTTTTGGAGGAATTGGATATTCATGGCCAGAAAATTGGAACCTCAAAAGAAATATAT